TTCACTACACAACCTAACCTAACCTAACTCACACGAGGCTTCACACGAGGCTTCAGTGTGTAGCCTGTGGTGTACTGAAGCTCTTGCTAACACGGGCTTCACTACACAACCTAACTTAACCTCTTGTGGTCCGCCTCTCCCTCTATGATCTAATCGACCTGAAAAGTTTAATTAGTTTTGGTCCACAGACAGACAGACAGACAGACAGACAGACAGACAGACAGACAGACAGACAGACAGACAGACAGACAGATAGATAGATAGATAGATAGAGAGAGAGAGAGAGAGAGAGAGAGAGAGAGAGAGAGAGAGAGAGAGAGAGAGATGACGTCACGGGTAAACATAAGCCAATTAGCAATGATTTAGTTCTCTAATTGGTGTCACTGTTTCTTCCCTCTAGGGCTTAACAACCCTCATCACCCCTCCCCCCCTCCTCCTCACCCCTCCTCCTCAACCCCCCACCTCTCCCCTCCATATTCTTCTTTCTTTTCTTTCTTTCTTTCTTTCTTTCTTTCTTTCTTTCTTTCTTTCTTTCTTTCTTTCTTTCTTTCTTTCTTTCTTTCTTTCTTATTTTATGTCTCTTGTCTTCTTATTTATTTTTTATTATCTCTCTCTCTCTCTCTCTCTCTCTTTATTCTCCCTTTCTCCATGATTCTTCTTTCTCATCCTCATCAATTCCTCTACCTCTTCTACCCTTTACTCCTTCCTCTTCTCTTCTTTTAGCTGATTCATCTCCCCTGCTTATCCTATTCTTCCACTCTTCCATCTTCTTTGTCCTCCTCTTCCTCTTCCTTTCATCCTTCCTCCTCCTCTTCTCCTTTCTCATCTTCCTCCCGTCTCATCACCCCATTCCTTTCCACGTGATTTCTCTCTCTCTCTCTCTCTCTCTCTCTCTCTCTCTCTCTCTCTCTCTCTTTACGTGATATACAACAAATGGATTAACAAACAAATTACAGAAAGATACAGAACAAAGAGCAATTAAAACAAACACACACACACACACACACACACACACACACACACACACACACACGACAATGTGACAGTAGGATAAGGAAACAGACAAAAACAATAATAATAATAAAAATAACCAAAATAATAATAATAATAAACAAACTAATAATAATAATAATAATAATAATAATAATAATAATAATAATAATAATAATAATAACACATTCTACTTTTCCAATTCAATATTACAAGAAGAATTTCACACATAAATATATTTCACCAAAAATATATCTTCACGTAGAAAGCAAGTCCAGGATACCAGCCAACCAAAACAACATTCAGAGCTTTAATAAAAATTGACTTGATTAATTTCCGTGGCGTATTTACTATTGACGCCAGGAAGGTGTTGTTGACAAGATGGCTGCTTCATCTTATCACCGTATATTGTACTTCCTTCTGTGAGGGATGGACCATAACCTTGATTAATTAAGACCTTTTATGATAGGTTTGGTTAGGTTAGGTTAGGTTAGAGTTAAGGTTGGTGTCATAAGTGGGTTGGGTTGGGTTGGGTTGGGTTGGGTTGGGTTGGGTTGGGTTGGGAATTGGAGTTGCAGATGTCAGTCTATATAAATTTATCAAAACTCCTGGCTGCCAACTTGAGGACACACACACTTTTACACACACACACACACACACACACACACACACACACACACACACACGGTTCAGTCAGGAACATTTGTCAACACTCAAAAGGACAACACTCACTTCAAAGAGCTGCCCTCATCTCTACCTGTCGTCCCTCCTACCCCTCCTATCCTCTCCTCCCCTACCCCCCACATACCCTACCCTCCCCCTACGCCCTCCTGTGTTATGGTGAGCACTCCCGTCGCCGTTTGTACTGTACACTGCGACAAGAGATCAATCGTCAGGAGATGGACCAAGGCGAAGGGACCGATCACTTTAATGGAACTTGTAACAATGTTTATCTGAGAGCCAGTGTGAGGTGCTGGACATTCTACAGGGGAAGAGACTAAGATGTGGTCGTGTATTAGATCAAGATGTGGCCGTGTATTAGATCAAGATGTGGCCGCATAGGATCAAGATGTGGGCCATGTATTAGATCAAGATGTGGCCGTATTAGATCAAGATGGGCCGTGTATTAGATCAAGATGGCCGTATTAGATCAAGATGGGCCGTGTATTAGATCAAGATGTGGCTGTGTATTAGATCAAGATGTGGGCTGTATGATCAAGATGTGGCCGTGTATTAGATCAAGATGGGCCGTATTAGATCAAGATGTACGTGTATTAGATCAAGATGTGGGCTGTGTATTAGATCAAGATAGCTGTGTATTAGATCAAGATGTGGCCGTGTATTAGATCAAGATGTAGCCGTGTATTGGGATCAAGATGTGGGCCAAGGTATTAGATCAAGATGGGCCGTATTAGATCAAGATGTACGTGTATTAGATCAAGATGTGGCCGTGTATTAGATCAAGATGTATGTGTATTAGATCAAGATGTGGCTGCAGGAGATCAAGATGGGCCGTGTGTATTAGATCAAGATGTGGCTGCATAGATCAAGATGCCGTGTATTAGATCAAGATGTATGTGTATTAGATCAAGATGTGGCCGTGTATCAGATCAAGATGTGGGCCGTGTATTAGACTCCAAGATGTGGCCATGTATTGCATCAAGATGTATGTATTAGGATCAAGATGGCCGTGTATTAGATCAGATGCATGTGTATTAGATCAAGATGTATGTGTATGCATCAAGATGTGGCTGCATTAGATCAAGATGACCATGTATTAGATCAAGATGTACGCATTAGATCAAGATGTATGCATAGATCAAGATGGCCGTATTAGGATCAAGATGTGGCCGTGTATTAGATCAAGATGGGCCATCAGATCAAGATGTGGCCGTGTATTAGGATCAAGATGTGGCCATGTATTGCATCAAGATGTGGCCGTGTATTAGATCAAGATGTGGCCGTGTATTAGATCAAGATGTATGTGTATTAGACTTCAAGATGTGGCCGTGTATTGCATCAAGATGTGGCCGTGTATTAGGATCAAGATGTGACCAAGGTATTAGATCAAGATGTGGCCGTGTATTAGATCAAGATGTGGCCGTGCATGATCAAGATGTGGCCGTATTAGATCAAGATGTATGTGTATTAGATCAAGATGTGGCCGTGTATTAGGATCAAGATGTACGTATTAGATCAAGATGTGGCTGTGTATTAGATCAAGATGTATGTGTATTAGTTCAAGATGTATGTATTAGATCAAGATGTATGTGTATTAGATCAAGATACGTATTGATCAAGATGGGCTGTGTATTAGATCAAGATGTGCCGTGTATTGATCAAGATGTATGTGTATTAGTTCAAGATGTACGTGTATTAGATCAAGATGACCGTATTAGATCAAGATGTGGCCGTGTATTAGATCAAGATGTATGTGTATTAGATCAAGATGTATGTATTAGATCGAAGATGTGGCCGTGTATTAGATCAAGATGTGGCCATGTATTAGATCAAGATGTGGCCGTGTATTAGATCAAGATGTGGCCATGTATTAGATCAAGGATGTATGTGTATTGCATCAAGATGTGGCCATGTATTAGATCAAGTGGCTGTGTATTAGGATCAAGATGTAATGCGTATTAGATCAAAATGTGTACGTGTATTAGATCAAGAAGATGTGGCCGTGTATTAGATCAAGATGCTGTGGCCATGTATTAGATCAAGATGTACAGTATTGCATCAAGATGTGGCTGTGTATTAGATCAAGATGTGGCCGTGCATAGGATCAAGATGTATGTGTATTAGATCAAGATGTACATGTATTAGATCAAGATGTACGTGTATTGCATCAAGATGTACAAGTGTATTAGATCAAGATGTGGCCGTATTAGATCAAGATGTACGTATTGCATCAAGATGTGGCCGTGTATTGCATCAAGATGTGGCCGTGTATTAGATCAAGATGTGGCCGTGTATTAGGATCAAGATGTGGCCATGTATTAGATCAAGATGTGGCCGTGTATTGCATCAAGATGTGGGCCGTGCATAGATCAAGATGTACGTGTATTAGATCAAGATGTGGCTGTGTATTAGATCAAGATGTGGCTGTGTATTAGATCATGATACGTATTAGATCAAGATAGCTGTATTAGATCAAGATGTGGCCATGTATTAGATCAAGATGTGGCTGTGTATTGCATCAAGATGTGGCCATGTATTAGATCAAGATGTGCTGTGTATTAGATCAAGATGTGGCCATGTATTAGATCAAAATGTGGCTGTGTATTAGATCAAGATGTGGGCCGTAATAGATCAAGATGTGGCCATGTATTAGATCAAGATGTGGCTATGTATTGCATCAAGATGTGGCCGCATAGATCAAGATGTGGCCGTGTATTAGATCAAAGATGTGGCCGTGTATTAGATCACATGTGGCCATGTATTAGATCAAGATAAAATGTGTATTGCATCAAGATGTGTCATGTATTAGATCAAGATGTACGTGTATTAGATCAAGATGCTGGCCGTGTATTGCATCAAGATGTGGGCCGTGTATTGCATCAAGATGTGGCCGTGTATTAGATCAAGATGTATGTATTAGATCAAGATGTGGCCATGTATTAGATCAAGATGTGGCCGTGTATTGCATCAAGATGTATGTGTATTAGATCAAGATGTGGGCTGCATAGATCAAGATGTATGTATTAGATCAAGATGTATGTATTAGGATCAAGATGTGGGCCATGTATTAGATCAAGATGTGGCTGTGTATTGCATCAAGATGTGCCATGTATTAGATCAAGATGTATGCATTAGGATCAAGATGTGGCTGTGGCTAGATCAAGATGTGGCCGTGTATTAGATCAAGATGTGGCTGTGTATTAGATCAAGATGTATGTGTATTAGATCAAGATGTGGCCATGTATTAGATCAAGATGTATGTGTATTAGACTAAGATGTACGTATTAGATCAAGATGTGGCTGTGCATAGACTAAGATGTGGCCATGTATTAGATCAAGATGTGGGCTGTGTATTGCATCAAGATGGGCCATGTATTAGGATCAAGATGTGGCTGTGTATAGATCAAGATGTGGCCATGTATTAGATCAAAATGGGCCGTGTATTAGGATCAAGATGTGGCTGCATAGATCAAGATGTGCCATGTATTAGATCAAGATGGGCCATGTATTAGATCAAGATGTATGTGTATAGATCAAGATGTGGCCGTATTAGATCACATGTATGTGTATTAAATCAAGATGTACTATATGAGATTTAAACTATGGGCCATATGAAACCAAAATATGGCCATATAGTACAAGAGAAAATACATATAAGGTATTGTGATGTATTTAAATGCCTTAAATAAACACATTCTTCTTCTTCTCCTTCTTCTTCTCCTTCTTCTTCTTTCTTTCTTCTTCTCCTTCTTTCTTCTTTCTCCTTTCTTTCTTCTTCTTCTTCTTCTTCTTCTTCTTCTTCTATTCAGGCCTTTTTCCTTTTCTCATGAGAAAGAAAGAAATGGAGATGGAGGCCAGAATAATTGATTGAGTTAAAAGGATTGGATAGAGAGAGAGAGAGAGTTTAAAGTAAGACAAAGGAGGTGAAGGAGGTGAAAAGAGAGAGGGAATATGTGTGTGTGTGTGTGTGTGTGTGTGTGTGTGTGTGTGTGTGTGTGTGTGTGTGTGTGTGTGTGTGTGTGTGTGTGTGTGTGTGTGTGTGTGTGTGTGTGTGTATGGGAGAGAGAAAAGAGAGAGATAATGGAGAGAAAGAGAGAGAACAAGTTGAAGAAAGAAGAAGCATTAAAAGTAGGAAGCCCAAAAAGAACAAAACACACCCCCACATCAGAAGAGAAAATCTTAAGAGCAATATGAAGGTGGATGGCTGAAGGAGGGAAGGAGGGAAGGAGGGAGGAGGGAGGGAGGAGGGAGGGAGGGAGGGAGGGAGGGGAGGGAGGGAGGGAGGGGGAGGAGGAGGAAGAGGTGAGGGAATGGGGAAAGAGTGGGAGAGTGAAAATTACAGGAGGAGGAGAGAATGTGTGTGTGTGTGTGTGTGTGTGTCTGTGTGTGCTTAGGTGGGAGTGATCATATACCCCTACATAACACAAATAACTACATACATACATACACATACAGATACATACCTATTATCGTATATACACAAATATACACCAATAACCTTTTTTCCTTTGACGTTTGACCTCTGATAAACATAACCCAGGAGGAGGAGGAGGAGGGAGCTGATGTTACCAACTGGGTCAAAGAGAGGTCCCCAGTCCTCTCTTCTCTCTCCACATAATCCCTCATCTCATCTCTCTCCCCCCCCACTGCACCTACCTGGCCCCTCACCCCCCCACCATCACAGACTTGACATAAACTTCGGGAGAATTTTCCACCCCCAAAATTATCCCACAACTCCAAAGAAAAACTACAAACTTGAGTCTTGGAATTATGACACAATGATGATGTTTCACTTTTTGAAGGGTCGTGATGTTTACACTATTCTGTAGATTATTATTAATATTAACATTTAGGTCATCGGATAATTGGTGTTTTGTTATGGAATGTTTAAATGTTTTGGTAGTTATATTTATCGTTGAAACACAAAACACTAATTTATGTGTATATTAAGTTTGGTGGCATTCATTAGTACTGTAGATCAATTACCTGTACGAGACGCGTCCGGTACACGACCAGATTGCTCCCCGTGTATGTGTGTCCGGGTGATAAATACTGTATGATGTAAACAAGGGTGCGGTGGTAGAGCGGATACAGCGTTCGCCTCCTAACTCAAATATTCATGGTTCGATCCCTAGGTAATTCAAATTCACCCAGGAACCTGACCTAACCTAACCCAACTAAACCTAACCTAACCTACCACTTCATCGTTCATGTAAAATTATCAACACCACAGAATTATCTCATATGGATATAATTCAGGTGTTTATAAATGGCAATTATACATGTGGCTCCTTCGTTAGTACAATAATTCTTGAAGGTATTGTGTCTTTGCTGTTCGTTGGTGTCGGGGAAAGCACAAGGAGAGGATTACAAGCTGTGCTACTCTGGTATTTCATGAGAACAAGGGAGCAGCAGGCTCGAGGTATGTGGGAGAGAGAGAGGGAACCAGGACGTGTTTTGTCAAATTTGTGTCAGGGGTTGAGAGCGTTACCTGTACCTGACATGTAATTAAATGATGAAATATGAGTGTGAGACAGTGAGAACGATGCATTCTTGAGTAAATAATAATAATAATAATAATAATAATTAACGGTTTATTGAAAAAGTTCTGCAGCCCGAAGGCTGAAACTATACATTGGACATAAATGACTTATTACATACATTGGTGGTTTAACAAAAGCCTGCATTAGAGAAAGGTAAAGGAACATACAGATTAATGTAGGATTGTACGTGTTGAACAGCAAACACGTAGTGTAGTCACTCCCTCCCAGATGGTGTTAGGAGGGACCTCACGTGGTGTAGTAGTTCCCTCAGATGGTGTTAGGAGGGACCTCACGTGATGTAGTAGTTCCCTCAGATGGTGTTATGAGGGACCTGACGTGGTGTAGTAATTCCCTCGCAGATGGTGTTATGAGGGGCCTCACGTGGTGTAGTAATTCCCTCACAGATGGTGTTATGGGGGACCTCACGTGGTGTAATTACCTCACAGATGGTGTTATGAGGGTCCTCACGTGTGTAGTAATTCCCTCACAGATGGTGTTATTAGGGACCTGACGTGTAGTAATTCTCTCACAGATGGTGTTATGAGGGGGGCCTCACGTGGTGTAGTAATTCCTTCACAGATGGTGTTATGAGGGGCCTGACGTGGTGTAGTAATTCCCTCACAGATGGTGTTATGAGGGGCCTCACGTGGTGTAGTAATTCCTTCACAGATGGTGTTATATGAGTGAGGTTTGGTCCAAGGCCTTCCTACCGTAGACGGATTAACACATCGCTGGTTGTTGTTTGGTCTCATGGGCCGTTATCACTGGGTACCTGGGACCTCACTGTGTGAAGGTTAACTTGGGTACGACTGTTACTGTTGAGTTGTTCTCACTGACTTAAGCACTGTTCACCACTGTTCACCTCTGTTTAACACTGGTTCCATTCCTTTCCTAAATGAAATTGTAACTCTGGCGAGAACTTGTTGATATTCCGGTGGGGAGGAGGGTTCAGGGGTGGGGTTGGTATGGGCCAATTGTCTTAACAGTTGACCTGGTTGCCTGAGAGATGCCAGGCACGTCTTGACCCTTTCGGTGGTCAAGGATGTAGTGTGTGTGTGTGGTGAGAACTTAAACCCCATTGTTCCCTAAGTATAAAAAATTAAAAATAATTCTTGATCCCTGACACACCCCAGTACCTGACGCCTTACACTCCTGAAGGACCCCCCACTCCTTCAGGTTGTATACACCAGGTGAGGTCTCATTATCCTCGTGTGAAGACTTACCTACAATACACAACAATTGAGTGAGGAGACAGATGACGTGTTACCTTGAAGCCAGGACGCGTTCTCATTGTTACCCGCCACTGCACCCTGGGAAACCCTTGTGTGACACTATAAAAACCAATTGTGATAGTTAGACCTCGTTAGCGTCACACCGAGCAGGATAGGACTCGGAGCAACGGATTCAAGTTGGATAAGTTTAGGTTTAGGAGGGAGATAGGAAGAAACTGGTGCACAAATAGGGTGGTAGACGAGTGGAACAAGCTTAGCAACTTTGTAGTAAGTGCTGGAACGCTGGAAAGTTTCAAAAGGAGGCTAGATAGATTCATAGATGATAGAGAGTGGTAGAACCTCTCGACAGGAGCTGCCATGCACAGGCCAATCGGCCTATTGCAGACTCCTTATTTTCTTATGTTCTTATGTCAACACTATCAAAACCTTATTAAATTTGACAATAAAGGTTTCGAAGCCTTTGAAGGGATCCAGCCACTTAAGCCGTGTATAAGCTCCGCATCTCATTAAACTACTACCACTAACAACCACGCCTGTAAGCCACGATACACTTGTGATGAAAAATTGACTCCAGGTGCGTAAAATTTGCTTCGTGTCTCATCAAAGTTATATTATCTCTTCCAGTAAGTCGTAAAGCTCAAACAAACTATACCTTAGCTTTACCGAGTACAGCTTTACTGAGTACAGCTTTGTCGGTTTTCATCACCAAACCGCCACAATGTTGAGTCCAAATAATAATTATTGCATAAACTAACACTCGAGTACGGATCAAACCTAGAGTACTGATCAAACCTCGAGTACAGATCAAACCTCGAGTACAGATCAAACCTCGAGTACTGATCAAACCTCGAGTACTGATCAAACCTCGAGTACAGATCAAACCTCGAGTACTGATCAAACCTCGAATACTGATCAAACCTCGAGTACTGATCAAACCTCGAGTACTCATCAAACCTCGAGTACAGATCAAACCTCGAGTACAGATCAAACCTCGAGTACTCATCAAACCTCGAGTACAGATCAAACCTCGAGTACTCATCAAACCTCGAGTACTGATCAAACCTCGAGTACTGATCAAACCTCGAGTACTGATCAAACCTCGAGTACTCATCAAATCTCGAGTACTGATCAATTACACATAACAGAGTCAGCGGTGGAAGATGCTGACATAACACATCCTCGCGTCGTCACTCACTTGCCACTCAGTCGTCACTCACTCACCATTCAGTCGTCATTCACTCGCCACTCAGTCGTCACTCACTCACCACTCAGTCGTCACTCACTCGCCGCTCAGTCGTCATTCACTCGCCGCTCAGTCGTCATTCACTCGCCACTGAGTCGTCACTCGCCACTCAGTCGTCACTCGCCACTTAGTCGTCACCCGCCACTCGGTCGTCACTCACCACTCAGTCGTCACTCACTCAACACTCAGTCGTCACTCACTCACCACTCAGTCGTCACTCACTCAACACTCAGTCGTCACTCACTCACCACTCAGTCGTCACTCACTCAACACTCAGTCGTCACTCACTAACCACTCAGTCGTCACTCCATCAATGTCTCTCCACTAATGTTGTTATAATGTTTCCCATTCTGTTGCCTGAGAGAGATGCACTTCAGCCACAAGAAGTGTTCCATCTGTTTTAAGTGTCTTGGTCAGGCTTTCACCCTTGGAGCTAACCTAACCTAACCTCACCTCACCTAACCCAACCTACCCTAACCCAACCTCACCTAACCCAACCTCACCTAACCCAACCTCACCTAACCCAACCTCACCTAACCCAACCTCACCCAACCTAACCTAACCTAACCAACACAAAGAGGACCAATATTGCCCTACCGACTGCTCTTATTACACCAAACATTCAGACAACTATTCCATTTCACGTGTAATCTGTGGAATAGAAAAAGTAATATAAAAGTAATTGAAAAGTAATAGGAAAGTCTACACAGTGAGAGAGAGAGAGAGAGAGAGAGAGAGAGAGAGAGAGAGAGAGAGAGAGAGAGAGAGAGAGAGAGAGAGAGAGAATCCCTTTCATTCTGTCAGCTATTGCTATCGATTAGGTTAGATTAGGTTAGGTTAGATTTCCTTTTATGATTCTACAGTTATTGTTATTTAATGCCTTTATTAGTCTATGTTTATATATAGTACATGGTGACTGTTTATGTGTGTGTGTATTGTTTTTATGCACACATGTATGTATTGCCTTATTCGTATACATACTTCATACATATACTGTGCATATTACCTATCAAACGCGTCACTGGCTGCAGAAAAATTGAATTACCTGTATGCACGTATGTCCTTTCATCCATATATTTCCATCCAATCACACGTAAGTTCATTAAGCCAGCCAGTTAACGTCACCAGTGCACATAACAACTATATAAAGGTCAATATATTCTTTTATTACCAACAACCTCTTGGCTCTATACTGACCAATAACCAATTATAAAATCACTCAGAACTCTTAAAAGTATCGACCTTCAATTACCTGGTTCATTACGCATCGTTTTTTTTTTTCATATTTTATCTACCACACACACACACACACACACACACACACACACACACACACACACACACACACACACACACACACACACACACACACACACACACACACACACACACACACACACGTACTTAATGCACTATATTGTTATCATGAAACTCTGCACACTGTTATCATTGTTACTTAATATTATTATTGTTATTTATTTTGTTTTATATCTCTTCATCTTTTATTGATCTATGAATCTATTCTTTATCACAGTTGCGCTAAGAAGCCTGAGAGAGAGAGAGAGAGAGAGAGAGAGAGAGAGAGAGACGGGATACTCTAAGGTGTTTAAAAGCCACATTTCATTAGATTTATAAACAGTACAGTATAGAGTGTAGAACAGACAGACAGACAGACAGACAGAGATGCTGAGATAAAGTGAACAGACAGACATACAGACAGAGAGAGAGAGAGAGAAATATTCCCTCTTTAAACGATAGTCCATTTTCAGATCAGTATTTAGTTAAAAAAAATATATATATAATAAAATATATGTTTGGTGCCCAGAGTAATGCATTTAATTAATTCCGGTAGAGAGATGTATGTATGTCTCTCTCTCTCTCTCTCTCTCTCTCTCTCTCTCTCTCTCTCGTAACTTAGGTCACCTGTCACAAGTTTACCTCCAACACTAAGAAAGTTCTCATGACCTCTGCAACACCTGTCTCGTGAGCCCAGTTAATGAGGAAAGGTAATTATGAGGTGACGTTTCTCCTTATGAGGGTCTGGTACTTATAATGATGATGATGATGATGATGATGATGATGATGATGATGATGATAATAAAGTCATAATAATAATCAACAACGATAATTAAAAGGCAAAAAAATAAAAACAATCACTAATATTCAAGAGAAACATCAAATTTCTATCATATAACTGAAATTTAAACGACGTGTGTGTGTGTGTGTGTGTGTGTGTGTGTGTGTGTGTGTGTGTGTAGCCTTCAGTGACCTTTATAATACGCACACAACCTTTAAACTGCTATAGTACTTACAGCCAACGCGCGGATGTCACCTCACCACACACCTATCACTCACCTGTAAAGAAAAAATCAATTAGTAATTTGGCTTGACTAACACCTCACATAAGATGATAACGGTAACTCTAATTGGCGTTAGTTAATACCATCTAGATTGATTTTGATAATATTACAAAAAAATAGGACAAAAATATATAGTGGTTATAATTAGACCATTTTATATCCGTGTTATCAAGTGTATGGCAACACATGATGGAATACAGTACCGTATTTAACAACCGCTTCCCCTTACGGTATAATACAACGGTAGCGTGTAAAGGGGGAAGTCAAAAGCTGGCATTGTGGTGTTGAGGTGAATACAAATGCTCCATTATCATTCGGTGCGTGGGAGGGGTGGTGAAGGGTGGTGAGGGGTGTGAGGGGTGGTGAGGGGTGTGAGGGTGGTGACGGGTGGTGAGTGTGGTAAAGGGTGTGAGGGTGGTGGGGGTGTGAGGGTGTGAGGGTGGTGAGGGGTGTGAGGGTGTGAGGGTGGTGAGGGGTGTGAGGGGTGGTGAGGGGTGTGATGTAAGGTTAAGTTCTTCCTGGTGAGGTTCTGATGCCGTTCTGATGACTAACCTAACCTAACTTAACCTAACCTAACCGAACCTAACCTAACCTAACCTACCTGTAACCTAACCTAACCTACCTGTAACCTAACCTAACCTAACCTTCAAATTACCATCATTATACCAGTGTGTCCCTCAACCAATGTTCTAGAGGTGAAGTAGGCTAAGCGGACACAACACTCACTTCCTCTCCTAAAGGTCAATGGTTCGAGCATAGGGTTTCCTCAGTGCGCCCTACCGTAAATAAGTACGTACGTAACTTTGCCGGCAGAGAAGTTAAAGAGGTGGAGTGTAGTGCCGGCAACAATATTCTCTGCAGTTATGAGGGTTTTTGAGCCTAAGTGACCCTAAACATGGTGCAGTAAGTTCTATTTTTCTTCTGGTATCGAAGAAAATAATCTACGTTACTTTTCAAATCTTCCAACTGAGATTCCACAGAGACTGGCTTATGTTAGGATGATGATGGTGGAGTCACTGCCGCCCCTCCACCACATGTTAGGATGATGATGGAGTCACTGCCGCCCCTCCACCACATGTTAGGATGATGATGGAGTCACTGCCGCCCCTCCACCACATGTTAGGATGATGATGGAGTCACTGCCGCCCCTCCACCACATGTTAGGATGATGATGGAGTCACTGCCGCCCCTCCACCACATGTTAGGATGATGATGGAGTCACTGCCGCCCCTCCACCACATGTGGAAGATGATGGAGTCACTGCCGCCCCTCCACCACATGTTAGGAAGATGATGGAGTCACTGCCGCCCCTCCACCACACACTTCCTCAAACCCCCCGTATAATTTTCTCCCTCAAGTGTCAACATAAATATTAACTTTAATATCAACGCCGATGAAAGTTCCATTCCCAAGAGGTGATGCCGGGCCAACACGTCGGCCTCCTACACGGTGCGGCCCTCACTCTCTCTACCTTCTACACGGTGCGGCCCACACTCTTTCTACCTCCTACACGGTGCGGCCCACACTCTCTCTACCTTCTACACGGTGCGGCCCACACTACTTCTACCTCCTACACAGTGCGGCCCACCCCCCATCAACCTCCTACACGGTGCGGCCCACACTCCATCTACTTCCTACACGGTGCGGCCCAACCTCCCTCTACCTCCCATACGATGCGGCCCAGCCTCCCTCTGCCTCGTACACGGTACGGCCCACCCTCCATTATCACTTCCTACAAGGTGAGGCCCAGACTACCTCTGCCTCCTACACGGTGCGGCCCACCTCCTGCTGCTCCTACGGTGCAGCCCACCACTCCTGTAACTCCCACGTGCAGCCCACCCTCCCTGTAACTCCTACAGTGCAGCCCACCCTCCTGTAACTCCCACACAGTGCAGCCCCACCCTCCCTGTAACTCCCACACGGTGCATGCCTCCTCTAACTCCCACACGGTGCGGCCCACCCTCCCTCTAACTCCCACACGGTGCGGCCCACCCTCCAATACACCTCCTACACAATGCGGTCCACCCTTCCTGTACGTCCTACACGGTGCTGTAGAAAATGAAGTATTAATTAATATTTGATTGACTATTAATCTGACTGACTGAATTTTTCTTGTTCAAGGAGATGACTATGAACACCTGGTGATGACTATGAACACCTGGTGGTGATTAAAAACACCTGGTGATTAAGAACACCTGGTGATTAAGAACACCTGGTGATTAAAAACACCTGGTGATTAAAACACCTGGTGATTAAAAACACCTGGTGATTAAGAACACCTGGTGATTAAAAACACCTGGTGATTAAGAACACCTGTTGATTAAGAACACCTGTTGATTATGAACACCTCATGACAAAACATTTCATTAATCTTAACTCAGTCTACTAAATAAAGTCCCATTAAAGGAGACAGAAAGGACGCCAGTAAACAGAGCAGTGAACATCAAAGAGCCAATCACAGTTACCTGCCGATTCATCCCTATTTGACGACTGGAGCTCATCAAGAGGTGTCCAGCCAAAT